GTGCTCAGCTATGAGACAACCCCAGAAGAGAAAGTGTCTGCACAATGGTTGTTCTTTGGAGGGGAGGAGTTTGAACCTGCTGGGTCCGCTTAGTTTTGAAGTTTTCCAACAATTATCACACAGCTGTCAGATCCTCAATGCCTCACAGAAAGACACCCCCCTCCCCCACGCATCCAAGTCAAACTGTGAAGAGTTTGACCTTTAAATGACCTGCTGTTCCACTAAACTCCCATGTTATCACGCTGCATGAGCGACAACAAGCCTTACATAAAGTCCCGCATCCCTGTGCAGCTGTGATGAGGCTCTTCCTCGTCGTACTAAAAATCTAATTCCAGGTTAAATCTGCCAAGTTTCCTGTCAGTTCTTAATCAGAGTTAATTCAGGTGTATCAGAATTGTTTTGTTTTAGTTAGTGGCAGAAATTGAGTTACTCAAAGTTAATTTTGTTGAGTGAATTTTATAAGATATGATGCTTTTACTGACTCTTCAATGGATGAACAGAAAGAAACGAAACAAATGGCTGTAATTATAAAAGAAATGAGAGGAGAAATCCTCTGTGTGAAACATACCACAGCTGTCGATGACATCTCTGACTGTGCAACTGTGCAGTGCTCTAAATAGTACTGGCTGTTACCACACATGCAAAGGCCTGAGCACATAACCAGGAAATCTAGTTGCGTGAGTTTGTGCGTGTTTGTGGGCCTCTCTGTGTGTGTGTGTGTGTGTATCATTCTGCCATCATCCTAATAGAGAGCAGTGTGTATTTGACAAAGCAGCGAACAAGTGTTTCACATGTGGTGGGGAGCAACCATGGGTGCCTGCTGACACACCTGTGCAAATGTTTCCAACCATCTGCTCACTAAGCCAGGGGTTTTAATGATGATGAGGATGATGATCACATTTTATAATTATGCACACAGTAGATGCATCTAGGCTTGAATGTGGCAAGCCTGCTTCTGCATTTACAGTGGCATTAACTTTGGCTTGATTGCACTGATGCCTTATTTACCTAGCAGCCCTTGGTAATGGAGTGTTATTTGGGCAAACAAAATATGTGAGACCTTAATTTTTTAGGAGATACAGATAAAAGCAGAAGCAGAGCCTGAGTTGTGTGTTCAGTTTAGCAGCAGCAGCTTAATTCGATGCATCAGTCAAACAGGAAATGAGCAAACATGCAAAGTGTTAGTATACTTTTTGTACATCAGCGTTTTCTTTTCTTTTTTATAACTGCTAAATTACAAAGATGTCACTTAGATTGAAGTTTGCGCAGCTCTGAATAAAATGATCCACCTGTGCTTAATTGCTTATGGAAATGTTGCCTGAAACGTCAGGAGTGAGTGAATGATTACGGTAGTAAACAAGATGAGAATTGAGAAATGATTCTGTGCATTTTCCAGACTTTCCTGTTAGTATTTCCTGGGGAGAAGATAATGCAATGATCTCTCTCCAGCTTTTTTATAATGTCTTTCCGGTGGGAAAACATGCCAGGCAGATTTGCCTTGTTTGCATTTAAATTTGTTTTGCTGTGGAAAAACTGTGGGCAAAAAAGAGAGTGATGGAAAAGAATCCAGTGGCAACAGAATCCAGAAAACACGGCGATGTCAAGGAAAAAAAAAAGAAAAAAGGCCAGACGTCATGATGGCTGCATTTTCATGCAAGAAGACTACCTTATAAACGAGGCACTCTGAGAAGAGTAAATAATACATTTCCCATGGGACATGATCTGCACAATTAACAGCCTGGTTATTTTATCAGGGAACTGTCACCTCTGGTCATTGCGTCAGTCTGTTAAACAGGAGAATAAAAAAGACAAATAGATGACTCAGTCTGCAGAGATGAATGAACAAAGCCGTCGACAGGAAATAGAAAATTAGGAAAACGGTGAAAAACAAAAGGCTGTTATTGGTCAGCAGGAGATGAGATTGTTAGCAGTGGTAAAATGCTGATGACAGAGACAGAACAAAACCGATAAAAGAGTAACACATTTTCTAATAGTTTGCAGAAGAGGCAATAAACCATCCTGCCAGCATCACTATACATCAAAATCGTCTTCCTCTGCATGCCAGCAGCTCGCTCACTCCTCTTTCCCCCTCTCACTTCGTCATTCATGTCAGCTTCAGTCTAACCCATCTGACCCCACAGGGGGAAGAAAGGCAAACATTTTCTACCACTTCCATCACTGCCTCTTCTTTATTTTGTCTCTCCACTTTGCTGCCCTTCAAACTTCCCAACCAAGGACTGTAAGCTTTGAGTCATACGACCCTATCACCCTCTATTGTAGCTCCAAAATAGTAATGCTTTCTCACCATTTTGCCCTCTCTTGCCTTGTTCTCAGGGGCTGTTTCTTTAAAGAAGAAATGAGATAAAACACACATTTGAGCTGCAAGGTGCTTGATCAGGCCAGACTACACTATAAAGAATTGACCGTAAGAGTTCAGTGTGTCTCTGTCGACTATCTAATAAAGGTTTATTACAGATGAAGAGACAAACTTGACAAGGTTTTTGAGGCTTTCCTCACAGAGTCTAGGAAATGTTCTGTATGCTGTAAGTGAACAGCAGCAGTCGCCTCGAGCAGCATAGTGTGACTTTACACTCGCATAAGCATACAGCTCTGCAGGAGGGAGGAGAAATACAGCCTGCAGTTCATCCAAATCTGTTTTTAAGTGTCTAAATTAATTTATTTCATTTCCAGAAAATAAAGTTCATTATTAAAGCTGCATTAGATAACATCAGCTGTTGGCAACTAAACATGATTGCCACAGGTAACTATTAAAAAGTGCAATCTTAGTAGTGTAGAGCACATGTAGAAATAAATGAATAGGATACTCTGCGTTTCTAAATATTTTTTTTTCTCTTTATTTTGCAAAACTTTCTTCATGGCTCACTAAGTGTCTTATTACAACATATTTGTCTTGACACATCATTTATCTGACCCAGCAGTAAATTCAGTCTGAAGTGCAGAGGAGAAGAGTCATACTGATCGAGTTAATTGGTATAAACATCCCTCAGGTGTCGATTTAGTTTGAAAAGTGCAGCAACTTATTCAACGATTTCAAAGTCTTAATTTACCTGGAAGTCAGTGCTTAACTCTGAACCGTCTCAAGTACATCAAACAGGTTCATGCTTATTGGTATGGACAGCGGATCGATAAAAGGAAAAACGAGAATCTCAAAGAGCAACAAGCTAAAAGGTGGATTGCACTTTATTTATCTTTTACCTCTCTTTTAATTCCTTTTTTGTGTTTCTGATTGAATTGTTTAAACCCAGTTGTTTCCCTCTGATCGCTTTCTTTTACATGGTGCCCTAAAAGGTTAGAGTCATCACACTTCATCATACATGCAGCACCGATATTGGGTTATTCTGTGGTCATAATTACATACGCCAGATAGGGCTGGGCGACATGGGAGAAAGTTTGTCACGATATATATTTTTTTTCATATCAGTCGATACCAATATATATCACAATATAAAAAAATGAAATTTAACGGTGCTTATTGGTAGCATGTCTTTTTGACATTTCGTCGTAAGGCGTTGCGCTAGAGAAAGCCAACTGAATGGTGAGCTGCTCGGTTGCACAGGCGCCATGGGCTCCTTGCTTTACTCGGGGTTTGTAACCTTTTGCATTGTGCATGCCATGCCACATGGCACTGCTTCAGGTGGTGGAAAAGATTTGCGGTATTCCCCAACTTTGCAAGAACATACTTGACATAATTTGCAGTGCACATTACTCTTCTTCATGTCCAACCTCAAAAAACCAAAATACCTCCACACCACTGATGTTTTTGTGCCAGAGTTGTCAACGTCATCATCTATTGAGCCTTCATCTGCATTTCTGCCGGGGGTAGCACTCACTTTCTTTTTTTTTCATCGACAGTGCTGTTGGCTTCATGTCTTAATGTGCTATGGTTGCAAGTAGCTGCAGCCTGTTACTGCACAGTTGTTTGCTAATTCGTTCTAATTCAGCACGATTGGTTCAGCGCCAAGCAGACCTGGAGCAAATCCCCTTTAAACTGGCTATTCGTATAGTCTACCAAAACATGGCAGGATTCCGACTATCAAAAAGCATATTGACCATGTTTTATATTGATATAGAGCGAAACAAATTTTCGATATATATTATCATTTTATCGACCAGCCCTAATGCCAGACATATTATAGACCTCTGGGTAAGAGTCTTGGTATTATCATGGATCCACTAAATTGACTTTACAATTGTCTGAAATAACTCAAAGAGCTGTTTTGGTGAGGTCATGTAGTTCAGGAACTGGTTCAACTTTTTATTCAAAAGTCTAGTTTGGGCAACAGATCTATGTTTTTAAATACCTGCAAACATGAGTACACCCATACACATATGACTGTACTGCAGAGATTTATGATTAGCATCTATTTTTCCCTCCAATAATTATGTTTGTATACCAGTGTTTAATAAATGCCACTAAAACCCCTTGCTGGGTGATTTCAGATTGTAATCAAGCAAAAGCACAGTCAGGTTCAGTTTTGCTTTTTGTTTTTTTTTCCCAGGATGACCTGCTTTCTGTAGCAGCCTCTCTATCGCATTGATGCTCTGGCTGCATTCAATTGAATGAGGGGGATGTTGAAGTGCATTGGCTATTAGCACAACTATGAGTGGAACCTTGTTAGGATAATGTAAACATCAACATCGAGCATTTGAACAAATGGCCAGCGCTGTTATCTTTCTGAATACAAGAGTCTCAGTTGATGTGCTTAACTTCAAAGAGTGAATTAACACTGAACAGAACGGCAGATTCACTGACCTCCTTTGGCTGAAACTTTTTAATCTGTTGCACCTCTGATCCCCCCAACATCATCCGTGCACCACATCTACATTACTGCCGCACTTCAACTATCTGAGGTCAACAAGTTTATATAGGCTTGTGTTAAGTTCCCCTTAAACAAGAGCTACATAGACAAAAAGAAACACTAGATGAAAGTGTGTAGGAGCAGGTTGCTGAATATTTCAGTAAATACCAGCAGCTGCTGTAAAAGCAACAGAGTTTAGAACTTTTTTCCTCTCTCTGCCTCCTTCAGGGCTCTCGCACTCTGGCTTCTTCACCTCTATTTTGACTATGCTGACACAGATTGTTTACAGAACAAATCATGACCTGCAATATGTGTGGCTTTTGGAGTTGAGTAGTTCATGCTTCTCTGTTCACATGTTGATTGTTGAAGTTAAAGGTCATATTTACTTTAACTACGCAGATAACTAAGTGAACGCAACATTAAAGATGGGGACCTAAAGGAACAATTAAGTGTCTCGTAATATACTGTATAGTATCTCATATCTTATTTTAGGCCAACATATCATAATGTACTGTATTTTTTTGTTTTACATCATATTTAATAGTACTTTGTGTACCAGGGCTGTCATGATATACTCATATTGATGGTAACCTACTTTATCAAAATATCAAATATTGATCTTGTGTTCAAAATAAGCTAACAGTCATACAGTGAGTTCCTTTGTTTGTTACAACACGTCATAAAATGGACAGATGAAGACAAAGCAGCAGACTGCCCGAACTAACTCAAAGCACCTCTGTAAGAGTTCATTTGGCACTTTCATGACTTTTTATAAAACCAAGTAGAACATTATTTAGCCACTTTGGGTTACTAGTTAAAATAGCCAGAAGGAGTTTTCATTTTCTGTTGATTCTGGTGGCCACTACGGACAAAAGCAGGAGTGTTCTGCAGCTCTGAAAGCAAAAGGGGGTCCAACCTGGTACTAGCAAGGTGTACCTAATGGAGTGGCCAAGGAGTGTACATCATGGTGCTCCACCTATGTTTTTGCCTTTCTGTGTTGTTTTCAAGTTTTCCATAATCATTGTGATGACCTCATTGTTGTGAAAACTTAATCCTGAGGTGAAAATCTGTTATTATGACAGCCCTAACATGTATCATACCAGTGTATACTAAACGGTAAAAGTTTCTGCTTTATGTTTCATCAAAGCCTCCTTACATTCTTGCTGTACTTCGTGCCTGGAAAAAAAATCTATGACATTGGCAATCACATTACTCCTCTTATACACTTGTAAGCTTTGTTTCAAAGCTGACACAAACCACTCAATGCAAAAATAAACACAACTTTCCTGCTGTGCTCGACGCTAATCAAATGAGAACCAATTAGCCACTGACTCAGAGGACTGCCACAGTTCAAGGTAAAACAACGGAATACAACACATCCATCATGATGAACAACTTCAATCAGCAGACTCAAAACAAGTGCTGAGCCACTTGAAGTGGAGATTATGCTTTTCTACATTTACAACAAAAACAGCAAAGTTACAATGTTTGTTGTCCACACTAGGTGTATGTCAGTTTTTTAATCACGGGGTAAACATATGTTTAAACTGCTCAAAACAGGACCTTGCAAGAAAATGCAAGACTCACTAGAGCATTTGTGTCATCGCCATGGACTCTCCTTACCAGTTCATCTGTGCCTTGGAAAAGCACAACAGCCTGCCTCCAGCAGTAGTGTTGTGTCGTTTGCGAACGATTCTTTCAAAAGAACTGAATCTTTTAGATGAACGTACCGAACTGAGTCACATCCTTGAGTGAGTCGTTCATTTCTCACTTCAGTTGAGCTGAAGTGCAGACCTCAAAAATAGCATACCATAGGACAGTACACTTAAAACATCATGACTTATAAACAAGTTCAATTTTACAAACCTGTTTGCCAAAGCAACACAGCCAAACACTTGCGTCTTTGAATTGAACTGAATCCTGAATTTTCAGCTGTGTTTCAGTTCAGGAGGTCAGAGTTGCAGGCTTCTCCCACCAAGCGCAAAATGATTCAGTGATTTGGTGAACGAATCTTTTGAACGAATCTTTTTAGTGAACCGATTCTAGTAATTCAGTACATCTAAAAGAACTGTTGTGCCCATCATTATCCAGCAGTGTGTGGGGTAACATCCACTGCATAGCGGCTTAGCTGACTGACCACAATAGAGGGGGCGGAGCTAAAACATCAAGCTCTGTCCTTGGCCAGCCACCAGAAAGCCCCCCAGAGAGGTGGCCAATAAGAAGAAAGAAGCCTCATGGAGAAGGGGCTTAAAGAGACAGCGGCTAAAACAACGTGTTTTAGGCAGAAGCTGAAATAATGATATTTTAATACACCGAAGTGAGAAATTTGAAGCTTTTTTTAAAATCTGAAAATCATGTAAAACTTTTGAAGAGGTATCAGAGAGGAAGTAAAGAGTCTGAAAAAATGCATGATAACCCCCTTTAAGCACTGAACAATATGCGTGTTGACAGTTAATTTTAAAGGCATCATTGCTCATTAAACACAGGCTTTCTCACAATAGCCTTAATGACATCTATTTATCATTTTATGAATTAAAATATCAATTAAAATTGCTTTGTTTGAAAAGGTGTTGAGTGTTATAAGAAATATTTGCAAACGCATGATTCAACCAAGTGTTTTCAAATACCCAAATATACATATGAGTGTCTAGCCCCTGAGCAAAGCAGTGATTGTGACGATTACACAACAGTCAATATCTGTAATAAGTTAGCAAGACATGTTTCTGTCACAATCTCAGAGTAAATGAAAATACTTCATCAAAGTCATTTAAAAAAAAAGCATTTACTGCTTGTGTTACTGTTTATCTTTCCTCTTGCAGTTTGTGCTCAACACACTGTCCTAGTTTATGCAGGAGTGTGTGCATCTGTGTGTGCATTTGAGCTCAACTGCAAACATGTGTGCAAGAGAATGAGCCAAATGTAGCTGTACGTCCATTCAATTATTCAGAATGTTATCTGTTATGTGTGGGATGGGAAAAGAAGCCTCTTTTTTGGCACTGACAGTCATTTGTTTTGGACCACAGTCCTCTGGGATATTTTGTCAGATATGTCTGCACAGAATTGATTTACACCATGAAGGAACTCAGTGATAAACAAGAATGGCAGATGACCAAAGAACTTATTTTTAAAGTGACAAATATCAGGCTCAATTATTATCCTATTTAAAAAATTGATTTTGAAAAAAGTGTGATGCATTTGACTGCTTTAAAGGTCTAGACAGACTTGTTTTGTCCAAAGGCAATATTTGCACCAGGCTGCAAATCGAGCTGACATATTCTGCAGGAGAAAGTCAGCATACAGACAACAACTTTGCAATCAAAAGTGTTGAGATAGGCAAATGATTTATGGTTGCAGATTCAACTGATTGTGGATCTGGAAAGGACAAAGACACCAGTGACCCATTTCAAGGATCAGCATGGACATTTTGGGGGACAAGTGCGAGGGGATGTACTTGGATAACAAACAGGACACTGAAAAACACTGCAGCTGTCCACAAAAAGAAGGCTTAAGCTGCCTCTATATATCCTGAGGAGTCTGGGGTCCTTTAAAGCTCCTGTTAGGAACTTTCAGGTTGTTTCAACTTTGCCCTCTACACGCTTAAAGGGATAATTCGGCGTAAAATTGAGTTATTGTCAAACACACCATAATACAAGTAAGACACCTGGTCGAGAGATAACGACCGCTTGCTTCTCTAGTTATACCAACTTTAGCAGCAATCGCACGATAGCTATACAGAGAGCCAAGACGCCACTCTATAGCCTCAAATAATGCTCAGAACAGCACCTAACTTCATCAACAGTACATATAGGGTCCCAGCCACAGCACTAGCCACCAAACATCTTTTTAACTTTGCCTAATTTCTTTAGCAAAGAGACTAAACGCAACTCACCTACTCTCTTCAAGCAGCCGCATGTTTGCGCAGAGACTTCTGGGCGAGTCCATTGACTGCAGCGGGGGTATGCAGCTCAAGGAAGAACATTTATGATCATTACTTTATCATTTCCTTGAAGTAATAATCACCATATTAATCATTTTGCACTGCAGACGTGGTAGTTCTTCTGCCTTAGCGTCTCGGTCTGATTGCATTTCCATGAGGAAATGATCATGAATGTTCTTTCTTGAGCAGCAGTCAGTAATGGACTAGTCCGAGGTCTCTTTGCTTTCCTTGTTTTTTGACAGTAAAATGTGTTACTTACTGTAAATGTTTCATAGAAAATGGAAAAGAGGGCTGTTTCTTCAGCTGATCGGGTGACATCTACCCCTCACTCTGGTTTAATCCATTAAAAATTACAATATTGAAAAAATCTTGTCACAGTCTGATGGTCTTGTTTGCTTTTGGTGATCATAAAAAAGCATCAGTATTTTCAGTCTGTTTCATAATTGTGAAGAAATCCTCACAGGAGCTTTGCTGAGGATGTTGTACGACTCTGTGGAAGTCAGCATTCTCCTTGTTGCTGCAGCAGGGTAGCGGACATCAACCAACCTAACAAAAGGCTAGACACATTGTGGGGGTAGGGCTGGACTCTGACAGTGGTGACAGAAAGGAGGATACTCTCAAAGTTACATGTCATCTTGGACAGCATCCACCACCCACTCTATAACATGCTGGTTAAACTCAGAAGCACATCAAAACGGCGCACAAGACAGTCAAGCCTGTGGCCCTCAAATTGTACAACTCCTCTCTCTGTCCGCCCCCAGACTTAATTCTCCTTTAGAAGCTGTAAGCTTCTGTGCTATATATAATTCATTCCAACTGTGCAATCTAAATGTAAAGCGGTCAACAAGCTGTTCAATAACTAGAGGCGTGCAATGCTGATAACAAACTGGAAAACTATGTATTTCATTTAGCCTGTTGTCGGATACTCTGTAGTATCAATACTGTTTAGTCATTTTACATCTTTTAATCTACTGCTTATTTATTTACAGCTGATTTTTTGAACATTATGTTTAATTTTTTTGTTCCTTTTACTATCAACCATTCTTAACATTGTATTGAGCAAAAGATCAACTGCAATAAAAAAATTTCTCCTGAGATAAATCAAGTATTTCAGATTCAGATCCACAGCTGATGGTTGGGCTTCATTTGTAATATATTGTTTTTATCTTTCTCGTTGCCCACACTCCATAATGCAAAGTAGATTCTGTAAACCAATATCATTTACACCTTTTTTTTTGTTTGTTTTTTAATTCTTTTTCTTTCTTTCATGTATCTTCGTTTGTCATTGTTTACGAAATCAATTTTTTATATTATATCTTTTCTCAGCAACCAATGACATAACAGGATGTCTAAAACAGAGAGAAATCATAATTGATGTTCCTGAATGGGCTACTTAGCACATGTTATGTCCTTTGTCAAACACTGTCAACGTGCTGTGAGTCAGAACTCATGCTAAAATCTGTCAAAAATTAGTACTGCCAAAATTTCTGATGATTTGTCACAACACAGTTTGAGAAAAATTGGCTTGATAAAAGAACACCTCATCTTATGTAACATCCAAAGGAAGCAGACAAAATGTCGTTAAAAAAATCTGAATTTTGCAGATGTGACTAACACTTTTTTGGAAAAAGAAGTCTGTGTGAAGAACAAGGTCAGGTAGAGGTCTGGCTTGGTGGTCCACCAAATGAGGTGGCATGTAGCAAAAGTCATAAAAATGAAAATAGATGAATTAAAATACGAAAGAAAGACCATCTAATATACCTGTAACAACCAGTCAAGTTTCAGTGTACACAAAAGTCTGCCTAAAGTTATTCAGACGAGAGTGAAACAAAAGGCAAACATAGGTTCTCCTTGACAGTGAATTACTCAGCCGTTTCAATGCATCAAACTCAGGATGTGGATGTTTGGTTACAGTAAGCTTGACCTTTGGCCTTTGACTACAAGTTGACACCCAATCTGATGATGAGTGGCGAAATTGATTTATATTCAACACTGTGTAGTCAGTGACGCCAACTGCTCTTTAGCGCATATTGTGGGGATAATTACGAGTGATACTGGAGAGAGCCGGAGTAAGAGATCTTAGAATATCTAGAATTCAGCTCTTAAGAGGCTGCAGTGAAGTTTAAGTGTGGTATTGATCTGGGCAGCCACTAAAGAAACTCCAAAGGTTTCAAGGACTCTACCATCTAAATTGACTCTCACTGATCCGTGTAATTCATGAACACAAACATTCACAGGTCAGATAGAGAAGCTGATGTTTATCGCTTGTTCTGTTTTACATACCGTACATCCCACTTATGGAGGTCTGCTCTGAGTAAATAAAAAAAGTACAGTGGATTAACGAGGATAATTCTGAGAATGAGAAAGTCTTACCATCTGCACTTAACCGTTCTTGCAAATATACACTACAGTCTAAACAAGTAAAATCATCATCAGAGGCTGAGTTACCACCATGGGCAGGTTTGGACTTTAAGTTTGGGGGTTTACAAAGAACAAAGAGGAGGAGGAAGAGTGATGCATTTAACAAAGCCAGAGTGATGCAATTTCGTGAGAACAACACCTACAAACAACATCTAAACTTAACAATTAAGCCGATACAAATCCTCAACTGGCTGCTTTTCTGCACTAATGGTACCCATGAACTTTGCAATGTCAAAACACACACTTTCTTTCACACTTTCTAGACTATTTCAAGTGCACAGTCGAACCACAGGCCGCTAAGAGATTGTGCCATTGCGCACCCCTTTACATACAACTCAAACATTTCAATGTATGAGTTATGGCAGTGCATGGCTTATTGTTATATTCTCTGAAACGACTCCTATGCTCAGCAGGAATGACCACTAATGGCATCTGAAAGGGACGATCAAAGGCAGCTAATGTGCCATAATATCACAGTAAGATAGGCTGCAGAAGGAGACAGAAGTGAAGATGACCTCCTCTTTTGGCCTCACATAAGCAGTACATAATGTAAGGTGACGAGGGAGGCAAAAACTTTCCATCTCCAATCCTTCTCTCTTTGTGTTAAAAGAAAAAAAAAAAAACATAGTAAGAATGTATCAGTAAATACTCTGGTACTTGCTTCAGATAACAAGCACTGCTGCACATACCTGTACACTGTCTATCTGATGCCCTCTTTAGATAGCAGAAAAAGCATAGCTGACTTTCACCAGTTTTAGTTGGATCAATGGTGCAGTCACCCACTGTGTCCTCAAGACAACAACACCTGCGCGCTTGACCACACAGTGTGATTTGTCTATATTTAGACACAGCAGTACCTTTTAGCTAAATGTTGATGCCTGCATGCTAACATGCTGATGTTCCAAATTCAGAGTTTACATGTCTGCCATTTTAGCCCTAGCATGTAAACTAGAGGCAGGGAGGAAAAAGGCCCTGTGTAGACTATGGTATACCTGGCCTTTATGTTTGAGGGGTGTTAAATTTAAGAATGGCTGTCAATGCAGGGAAGAGTCCTTTGGGGGACACCTTTGTATTTATTGGTTTTCAATTCAGTGCTTTAACAGCAAAAACAGTAAATTTACTTACACTCCCGAGCCAGAAATTGAACTTTTTTGAGACAGTATTGGGAGTAGAATTAAAGGGATATTCCGGTGTTTTAAATTAAATTATTACTTTATCATTTCCCTTAAATAATAAGCACCATGTAAATCATTTTGCACTGCAGATGCAGTAGTTCTTCTGCCTTAGCGTCTCGGTCTGATTGCATTTCCATGAAGAAATTATCATAAATGTTCTTCCTTGAGCTGTGTCACCCCGCAGCAGTCAACTGAACTCGCCCAAGGTCTCCGTACAAACAAACGGCTGCTGGAAGAGAGTGGGTGAGTTTTGTTAAGTCTCTTTGCTGAAGAAATCAGGCAAAGCTGAAATGATGTTTGGTGGCTAGTGCTGTGGCTGGGACCCAATATGTACTGTTGATGAAGTTAGGTGCTGTTCTGAGCATTATTGGCATTTTGGTTGAGTGTGTGGCTCTCTGTACTTCTATTGTGTGGTTGTTACTAAAGTTAGTATAACAAGAGAAACAAGCGGTCGGCAACATTCATCTCTTGATGGGATGTCTAACTCGGTGTTACAGTGTGTTTGACTATAACTTAATTTTACGCCGGAATATCCCTTTAAATGTTTCATCTTGAGGAGACTTGTTGTGGATTGCATTTCAAGCAGCAAACAGAAGACTACAGGGGTTAGGTTAAAGAGGGAGCATGCTGTCATGACTGTTTATGATCATCCTCATCATCACAGATCTTCCTCCCTTTTTCACGCAGCACTGTTTTATTCTTTCACTCTATCTGAGGAAAGTTTCAAATCCTTCTCGTCGCACCTGTCCACACTTCCCTCTCTGTGCTGGTGTCAGCAACAAAGTCAGATGAAAAATACCAGAGCACGGTGAAACTCGCAGCTGCAAAGTGATTTACTGTAGCTTTAGTTGGCAACTGTGGGCGACTGCAGCGTGAATCCTGCCAGTCAGCTCTGCCTGTTGGTTCAGTCCTCATCAGCTTGGCTTAAGGTGATGATGTTGCTGCTTGCCTGGCAGGCTGCTCACCATCCAGTGTAGCTGCTATTCAACTGTGGGCTGCAGCACCTTCAGCTGAATCCTCCTGCCTCTTTGCGTTGCATTTCATTAGCGGGGGACTCTGGCACACTTTGACACAGACAAAATACAGTTTGGAGTACTCTCCAGTAAGAGGGGAGCAGATAGACCCTGTCTGTTGTTCTTCAGCTGCCATTCATTGATGTCAGAATACTGTATGAAACTGACTGTACCTGACTGTACAAGCTAATCTAAGAATCATAATCATAAAATGGTTAAAAATGTAATTAATCAATTATTTTATGTCATCGTTTCCAGGAATTAAGATCTCTAAACTTAACCTTCCTCCTGTGTGAGCTCTTACGACGCACCCATCATGTTAAGGGTCGGTTTTGACCGATGTCTTAAATCAGCTGTAAATTACACTAAAAACAATTCTCTATCATCCAGTTTGGTTCTCATCTCTAGGTTGCCTTGTTAGGCTTCATGATCCATAAATTTTTATTGCTCATGATAGTTTTAATAGTGAGGCCTGGGCCTTTCTTTGTCAGTATACCCCTCATAGAGACATTCATACTAAACTGATCTCACATGTCTAGATATGCCCGACATTGTTTTTCGTGCAGGGTAAACAAGGCAAAATGAGAATTTCCTAAATCTCACATGACTGGAGGAGGATCGAACTGTTAGTGTGGTGCCTGAAAGTGCCGTATGACTTCAGTTTTTGCTCTGATTATTAGATATTGATCTAACCGGGTCAACAGAGACCCTAACACGACAAGTGCCATAATTTTAATAAGAGCATTTTATAATTTAGTCAATTAAATATTTTTATTTTGTTGATATAGAGGTTCCTGACAAAGTCAAAAAGTCTTGATGCAAAAAGCTAATTGAAGTGGTTCGTTTAAGCATGTAAAAACAAAAAGGGGTCGGTGCAGACCCTAACACAGGAGGAGGGGTAACAGACCAATCAATACACAAGGATGGTTGAGCTCTGGGTCGTGTCCTCGCCTGAAAAGAAAAAAAATAATCTAACGTTTTGTTTTTTTTAATTACACAAAATTTACTTTCATCAACAATCCTTGAAAGTGAGAAGTGGGGTTTTTAATTTTTCCTTATATCTGTTTGGTATTGTTTCTTCTTAATGGGTCATTGGAAGAAGGTAAGCTGCATTTTTTGACAATAGGCTTTTTAGTTGTTGTGGAAGTTGTGAGCACCTTTTTTTTATTTTTTATTCCAACATTTTCTTTCTGTTCAGTTTTGGTCTCAATTGTCTCCACAGGGAAATAAAATATCTTTTATGGCATATTGTGCCCCCAAATGTTTACCAGTCAGTCTTTAACTTCGTCTGTCTGTTGTTTGGAGCTAGGATGTCTGCAATATCAGACAATATTAGAGCAGTGAATGAGCCAAAACAGAAACACTTCTTCTACATAGCAAAACAAGCTGGCAAACTTTCAAATTTCTGTGGACATAAAACTAGTCATGTGATTCTTTTGCAAAATAAAACAAATAATTACAGCTGCTATTAAGGAGGAGCTCAAAGGGACATTAAATGTGTAAATGTTGCATCAAGAGAAACAGAAGAAACACAGCCGAATCACAGAGCAGAACAGTATCTAAACTGAAAATATACCTATCAATCATTTTGGGGGAATGCTACTGACATTATAGTTGTTATAAAAATTTGATGTTTCTCATAAGCTCTGAGGTGAAGTGTGGTGGCCATAGCACTATATGCAACCACTTTGATCCAGTATGCCTCAGGACAGCTGTGATTGTGGATTTCATAAACATGCCACCAAAGTCACCAAGACGTGAGAAAAAGGTAGCAGAGCTTTAAGAGGGTTTCTTGGCAATCATCTGAATCACAGTGAAAATAAATCAGCTCTTGTAATAAGATAAATAATAAGCTGAATGAATACTGGATTCCTGTGGCTCTGAGGATGTTTCTTAACAATCAAGAAACAAAGTCTAATCCGTGATGAAAATATCCACTGATGGTATTCACATTTTCTGTATTTGCTGCTACAAGTTCTTCAAACTTTACAATCAGACACGTCAGTGAGTTTGGCATTTTTCTTGGTCCATTGTCAGAGACTTTTAAATTTGTCTTTAATCTGGCTCAGATGTACGATGGAGTATTAGGGCCACATTAAGAAAAAAAAAAAAAAAAGACTTGGCAATTACTTACGAGAATAAAGTCGTAGGAAAATCATTACTTACAAGAATAAAATCGTAATAAAATCATTATTTACGAGAATAAAGTCGTAAAGTAAATGAAGTCTGAAAGTTGATTCTGCGGAGGAGGAAATGTCTGGAACTGGTCAACTGCAGAGTTATCAGTGGGTGCATCAATGGGCCATTCAGAGGGCTTTTGTAGTTTCTCAAGAAACAACCCAACTGATGATCAACATTTGTGATTTAGAGGGAGTCGAGCTCCAACGAGCATCGCGTCTGTCTCTGATGCCGGCACAACACCGGCAGCAACCTACACCTGCAGAGACACCAACACCTTATGGCATATAGATTCATACGATAAACTAAAGCCATATGCTATACTATTGCTCTAAACAGCTGCATTAAGGGATTTAGCCTCTGCACCGCCATTTCCAGCCATTCCCCCTCCTCAAAAACAGCGATTCCCTACAAGTCCGCCTGGTTCTTTCCGCGGAAAAGATGCATTTTTGCATATTTCCTGATACTCAAGACAATGTGATGCTGAAGTGCCAAAGGACTTATCTCCTTGTTTGTGAAACCTAACTACTGAAGTTCAATTCATCTAAATGCTCCACAGCACTCATTTAAACAACTAACAACAGGTTAGAATAGCTATCAGCTACGACTTTGTTCTCGTAAGACATTTTTTTATTACGACTTTGTTCTCATAAGAAAGGATTTTATTACGACTTTTTTTCTCGTAAGTAATTTCTTTATTCTTGTAAGTAATTCCGAGGTCTAAAACTTTTTCTTTTCTTAATGTGGCCCTAATGCTCCGTCGTACAGATGAGGCCGCTCGGAAAATAATCTGGAGCCAAATTTTCATAAATGTAATCTTCTATCAGGTATGGTTACTCTTACTTTCCCCCCAACATTACCAAAGACCATAACTGATCTATCTATGCCTGAGTCCTTCAGCTCGGTACAGGCACAGAGGCCTCTTGCATTGGTTTGTGGCTTGACTTTCAGCCATCTCTCTTTGCTGTGACTTGTCCTCTGTTCTCTACTCTTCTCATTTCCCTTCTCCCTTCAGCTTCAAAAGGGCAAAATGCCCCCCAAAAAGAAACTAAGAAATTAAAACAGCAGTGTGGTTAGCTTCAACTCGCCCTCAGCTTAAAAGTATGCTGGAAGAATCACAACCTGGCTGAGGCATTAAGGTCAAATTTTTCATCTGTTCCAATGGCAGTTCTTTAGTTTGCAGGATATTTTAATTTGAATGCGCCAACAAGGACACATTAGATTGAAAAGAAGAGATTGCTTCTCTGACCTTAGATTGCCTGATGCAAAGAGTTTTAATTGTTTGTTTGCCTGAACAGAAAAAGTGGCTATGTAATAAATATTTGCATCAATACTGCAGTTTACTGTGTGTTAGGTTTCTTTTAGGCTGTTATGGCTGTGCTCCTCATAAACAAACACTTTTAGCAGCTGAGAAGAGCTTTCTTTGACTTGACCAACAGGCCTCATGGGTGGAATTATTCTTCCTTCTCTTCTCAATATAAAAAGCTAATGTTAATATTGTTCACAAAATGATCCCCATGACAGCAGGACAGTTACTATGTTTGGTGATTTGTTGTTTATTCACAGAAATGAGACTACAGGGAGTTTTGTTAAGTTTTTCTGGCTTTTAGTTTCCTCCAGAGAGCCGGGAAAGCTGCTACCTCTTTACTTTATCAGCGCAGCGAGTTATTGGTCAGAGTTTCAGAGGACGACTATTTATCTTTTTGCAAGCCTGTTAATCCAGCCTCTCAAACCCAATTAAATCTCACAGAGTATACTGCGCAGGGAGCAATATAGAGGACACTGAATGTGTGCATCATGAGGATACAAATGATCTTGTTGTCATATTTGGTAAGCTTTTGTTTGAAGGTTGGGATGAAATCAGCTCAGGACAATTCACATTCAAAATGCACTTTGTGGACGCTTCGCCTCAGGCAAGCCAAGCCCTACACACACACACACACACACACACATGCAAATACACACACACATTTAGGGTGCACACAGCGCTGGCCCTCGTCAGTTTTCCCCTCTATTCCTTCGCATTAAAAATGCGGCTCTGCTCAGTCTGGCGGCACACGCTGCCAAGCCTGCCAGACTGCAAGCTTTAAGCAGATACACCTCCGTCTATCTCACAGGGTATTTGCGGCACTTGGGCAAGTTGGGAAATCTGAGACAGGAAGAAACTAGTGCAAAGTACAAAACCCTTTTTATTTTAAGCTTTGTCATTTTTTTCTGTCTCTGAGTGATGTCTCACAATATATCAGTTATTTTGACAATGCAAATGCTGCACTCAGATGTTCGTGCAACATTGAGATTTTCTGGCTCTACTAAAGCAGGCAGACATTATGACTGTTTAGTCGGAGGAGATTGACCTTTGAAAAGCACAGTGAACTGTAAAGCATAGCAGATGATTAAATCAGAAAGCTGTCTTAACTCATCATTACAACAGTGAGCACTGGGAAAATAAGAGTCAGGATTAAAGCTGTACTGGACAGAAAGAGACACTGCTATTGACATTATTGATTACAAAACTAACAAATGGTCTTTGAGCACATAACTCTCTTTTTATTATGCTAAATTTCTGGACTATGATCTGTGTTGCACAGAAGGGCTCCAGTTACAGCAGCTCTCATCCATTTGGGGCTCTTTCCCTCTTTTTAACTTTTCGGTGTGCGGTGGATGGAGCTGTCTTCTACCTCCTGCAAAGATCTCTCTTGACTGGGGGCGCCATGAGGATCATGTTCTACCATTTCTCCAGCGCCTTTAACATCATACAGCCTGTGCTTCTGAGAGACAAGCTGCAGCACACAGGAGTGGACCAACACCTCGCATTTTGGCTGCTGGATATCTGACTGACCGGCCACGGTTTGTGAGGGTTAGGGTCATGACTGCGTCTGACATTGTTGTCTGCAGTACAGTAGAGGGGCCCCTCAGGCGACAGTTTTGGCTCCCTTTCTTTTTACCCTGTACTCACCACAAAACAAGCTGGCACCTGTATAAGTTCTTGGCAAGTCCACTATTGTTGGCCTCCTTGCCAATGATGACAAGAGGGAGTACTAAGAACCGAACCTAAACTTTGCGGACTGGTGTTATCAGAACTTCCTCTAGATTAGTGGTTCTCAAGTCCACTGTCCTGCATGTTTTGGATGTTTCCCTGCTCCAACACACCTGATTCAAATGATCAGCTCGTTATCAAGCTCTGTAAGGTCTTAATAACGAGCTGATCATTTGAATCAGGTGTGTTGGAGCAGGGAAAGATCCAAAACATGCAGGACAGTGGGCCTCAAGGACTAAACTTGAGAACCACTGATCTAGATCAACACTGGAAAAACCCTGGAGCTGATGGTAGATTTCTGTACCTGGGTGTTCACCTGAACAATAAGCTAGACTAGAGTGATGATACAAACATACTCTACAGAAAAAACCGAAGTAGACTCCACCTACTGAGGAAACAGAGGTCCTTTATGACTCAGTGGTAGTCTTGGCTATCTTCTATTGAACGGTCTGCCGGAGCAGCAGCATCACAACTGCAGACAGGAACAGACTGAACAAACTGCTGAGGAAGGCTCGCTCTGTCCTGGGCTGCCCTCTGGACTCTGTAGAGGTGGTGCGAGACAGGAGGTTGATGGCTAAGCTATCATCTCTCATGGACAATGTTTCCAACCCCCTACAGAGCACTGAAACAGCACAGTGACAGGCTTCTACACCCGCGGTGTGACAGAGAGATACCGCAAGTCCTTCCTTCCTGCAGTCAGACTGTTGAACCAGGCCTACAGGGTGTAGCACATCTCTCAATTTGGAGTGATACAGAAACTTTTTCTTTTAATGGAGTTGTGCATTTGAATGTGAATGTGACAGATATATATGATAAAATATCACTGGGGGTTTCAGCGGAAACATCCAATATATCAAGTTTCTTGAAGATAAGATGTACTGATCCTGTCAGAAAATGCAATATAATCTGTATCCTTTTTAAGTTAAATACAAAGTAACCTCCAAGACTGATTTAGAGTCAATATTATGCTCTAACATTTGGCTTGTGAGCCTTTATATACACCAGCAGTCTTCATCTACATCCAGGACTAGATTATGGAGTAGTCTCTATTCTGCATACTGTCTCCCTGCCTGAAACAAACATTCTGTCTATCTTGTTTGCAGAGTCGTTTTCACCCCCTCCTTTTTTCCTTATTCCCTACCTCTTGTCTCCTAGATTGCCCTTAATTTCTCATGTCGTCATTTTTTTTCACCTCCCTCCTTCTTCCATTCACTTTCTCCTCCTTCTGTTGCATCGAATCTTTCGCTTCTTCCACCTCTTCATGCCTGAGGCTTTTGTTACGTAATTCACTTGAAATAATCACGGGGCTGGTATTGTGGATGTGTGGAGATACGGGGCGGGCGGTGCACTGTTTGATAAAACTGAAATTACTGATCACTTGCTTTGCAGATTAAATGGGTCAATCTATCAAGTTCACGGTTGTTGAGATTAAGAAAATTGCTCTGTCAGTTGCTAAGTGCGTGGAAACTTTTCCTCTCACGTCTTGTCTTTAGAGTTCTGATAACAACTTTGTGATTGTGATGACACATGACATAAGTTTTAACGTAGCTGTATTTTTTTTTTTTAACAGCACCACTTTTACTGAGGAGATTCTAGTCTCTCCCTTAACTAAATTTTAGCCTGTCTGTCCTGTTTTTGGTTTTGACCTTTTCATTTTTAATTTTTGAAGCTGTTTTCCCTTTCTTCTTTTTGCATTACCCCCTCTCTCTTTCTCTCACTCACTCTATCTCTCTCTCTCTCCTCCTGTTTCCTTTATCCAGCCGTCTGTCTTCAAGGGGAATTACAGAAGTCATGCTTCACACGCAAGACACAGGACAGAGACTGGGCACAGCTCAGGCAAAAAGTAGACTCCCAGAGCACTACTTAAAACTGCTGAAAACAACCCCCAGCAGTCATGTCCAAGCTTCACCTCTGCCTAAATACCCACTGAGTAAAAAAAAGAAGAAAAAAAAAAAACTAGATGATGAAAGAGTTATATGGCAAAGCCTCAACACATAGAGAAAATCTTCCAAAGCTCTGCAGACTCTCTCCACCCATGCATTATAGATCAGTAGCAACTTTACCCCCCTATGGATTCCTTATGATGAAACCCAAGTAGCCAATATTTGTCACAATGAGATGTATAATGGGATGTCAAATGTAATTTTAATGCCTGATTGCAAATGATTCAGTATCTAGTAAATGGATTCCTTCAAATCAGACCAGCTTCGGACCCCCTGTGTCTTATCTCATCCCCCTTTTTTTCTTCTTGGGCTACAGCTTAATATTCTTCTATTTCCATACCGCCTCCTCTGTTTGTGATCTCCCCTATGACTCTCTACATCCTTGTCTTCATCTCCTCCACATACAAAGGGTTCAACGGGGTCGATGCGTGAATGGTAGCAACCCATATTCATCTGTTTGGTTTGGGGTTTCTCCTTTTTTTCATGAGAAAACTGAAAAAAAACCCCAGGATGAGAAAAAAATCTGATCAATCTAGCTACACGCACAGCTGGTTGCTGTCCTGTTTTGAGTTGAATGCATTAAAATCAAGCACACAAGTAAACCCCGTGGAAAAAAACGGGCTGGAAGCACAAATTACAGTATGAATTTCAAAAGAGAGACAGGATCTGAGATTACCTTCTGGGTCATGATGGAACCAAAAGGCACAACTGTGTTTTTAAATGGAGGATCAGATGATTAAAATACATCTCTGCCAAAGGGATGAAAGGCGTTGATGGATCAAGTCTTGGGCAAGAACTGAGCGTTCGACAATAGTTACACTCTAAAAACTCTTGGGTTATTTCTTCAACCCAATTCCTGGGTTATTCGTGTTGAGTTAAACTTCTGGGTTATTTTTCAGATCCATCCCTATTTTTTGGGTCATATGGATTCTATTATAAGCAAATTTGAGTTTTTTTGAATGGGTTCATAATTATGGGTTATTAATCTGAGAGTTACACAATATTTGGGTCAGAACGTTGGGTTCAATTGACTCTACATGGTTTCTAGGTCTAATGGTGATTAAAGTGACCTGGTGACCTTTCGAATTCCACATCAGACACATCTGTAAGGACAAACTACATCAACCAGTGTGGATCCTTAGGCAAGACCCATAGCGCTATGGCCTTCCTCATAATCATGACTGTGTACCATTGAAAGCCAAACCAGTCCAAACGGTACAGGTTGTAGAAGCAAAGCTCCCCAAATGCAAATATCAATTTAACCCAAGATCATGAGTCAAATTAACTCATAGACTGGGCTAACTTGACCCATAAAAAGAGGTATTGAGTCGACCCAAAGTTTGGGTTAATTTGAATAACCCAACATTCTGGGTCAAAAGAACCCAGTAAGTAGTTGGTCCCTTTTCAACCCTGGTGTTGGGTTTAAAACAACCCAAGTTGGGGTTTTTAGAGTGTGTGTGTTTTTTTTTTTTTTCTTCATTCAAATGTGGTTTATACAGAGAACTGCAAGTCAAAAAGACAACTCCATATCATATCTGACTTATGCCTGCTTTTGTTTTGTCTTCATCTTTTTTATTCAAAAGCTGAACAGTTTCCAACATTTTTCTAGTTTGCTACTTTTATTTTCCCTGGGATGAAGCAGCCTATGACTCACACAAAATGCAAATGTGAGTATCAGCTTGAAAACAACAAATGCTCAAGGTAGAAAAAGAGAAGTCACTTTAAACAACAGCATTAGCCCACCCATGTAGATATTCTATGAATCACAACTCTGCGTGCTCATCGCTTGCAGTATTTTCACTAAATTTACTCAGCAGGAATAAATCTCATGCAAAGGCAACTGGATGAAATTGCAAATAAAGTAAAAGACGTCTCACTTTCAGCCTCATAGATCAGGTTGAAATATGTTTTCTATGTAAGGGTAATCCTTTTTTTCTACAACATTAAGCAAAGAATAATTGAGCCATTGCCAGAGCTCATTTTTAGATTCTGTTACTGGAATTGAAAAACAGATCAGGAGTTGGTAATTAAATCTTCCCAAAAAATGCTGAGTTTCAGCTACAGTCATGATTACGCAAGTTGATTTATGTCAGCAAGGTGTGGCTCAAGCTGACATTTATCAAACAAATCACCTGTGATATGTAACAAAATTACAGAGGAGAGCTGTCCGTTTGAATTGTGTTAGGATCATTGCACGTCACGGCTGTTAATAGCCCACTGCTCACATCGATGGTTATTGTACATCCTTCCTAATAGTGATGAGTACAGACAAGACAGCAGCAGGATGCTGTTTGTGGTTAGAGAGGATCCTCTGCAACAGTGCCAACAGCTGTGTGGCCTTTAAAAAGTCTGGGACACAGAAATCTACCATATATATATATATATTCACTGTAAATCACTTTGGATTCATGTGTCAAAGGGAGGCCTAGACTATAAACAGGTAAAATACAGTCTTACAGTTGTCCAATAAACTAAAAAGCTGATGCTTTAACTTCACACAAGCTATCCCCCTGTTCCAACTTTTTAACACTTCTTATGTGCTTTTCATCTGCAAACTTGTGAGGATAACTTGATATAGTCATTTTATGGGGGGTTAACTTGAACAATAACCAGTACACCAATACATAAAGTCTGGTCCTGCTTGTCAAAAGCAGTAGATTCTGGTGTAGGAAAATGAAGCTGTTGCAAGAGCATGAAGAACTGCAGTTCTACAAGTGTCCACTTGAGAAGCCAGAGATGCATCCAAGAGTGGCCATGAACCCCCTTGAAATTGGAGACTGACCACCCCAATTTAAACTCATAGGACTTTAATGTTACTTCTCTGTTCTGTAACTTTGTAAGCAAAAGACAAAACAAGAATATTAAATCTTTTGGTGATGTAAGTGTCCAAGTCTAAGTATATGATGCAGATAGAAACAGCATATACGTTTAGCTACACCTGTCTAAAAAGCTAGACATGTCCTTGCAAGAAGCCCCATAAAGAACAATATTAAAAGGCTGATTTTTAGATGAGGAATTTATTTTTATAGCCCCTAAAAATGGTTATTCCATCACTCATACTCATTGTATTAGGGGTGAGAGAACTGATTCAATGCATAAAGTAAAACAATAGATTTCAGATTAGATTTGCATAACTGTTGGCTGAGTTGACTGACCCCACCTTTTTGGCTGTTTTTAGGTTGACTAAAAGTGAAGTTGGGTAAACGTTTTAAATATGATTAATTAATGCATCGGATTTCATATAGCACTTTAACAGAGACCCTTAAAGCGCTTTACAGTGTATACATCAGTCATTCACTCACACAGTCACACCGTGGTGGTGGTAAACTACCTTAGTAGTCACAGCTGCCCTGGGGTAGATTGATGGAAACATGGCTACCACTTTGCGCCATGGTCTCTCCGACCACACAACACTCACATTCATACACCAAGGACACAATGGACAGACTCGAGATAGGGAGGAATCAAACCACCAACCTTCCAACAACCACTCTACCCACAGAGCTACTGCCACCCATAATATGGACGTTTGGAACAGTCTGCAGTTTGTCCTATGTATAAACATCTATAAGTCGAACTTTCCAAGCAACTGCAAACAATGATCTAGAGTGCTAAGGCTTTCAAGAGTTTTATATCAAGTATCACTGTATGAGATCAGACAAACACATATGCAGCCCTGCTCTCTGCCTCCTTGAAGTATGAATATTTTATCTCTTCTCTTATGTTTCTTTAATGTTAAAACAGCGATCTAAACTAACAGCCGTACTTCCAGTAGTTGCCGCAGACGTCACAGAGAACCACTGGTGGACAAAAGGTCAGGGGGAGATGCATGGTATGGATGTTTCAGCACCATGGATGGAGCCGCACTCTGAGAATGGGGGTTGCTGAACTATAACAGGTTCTGTCTTGGGGCCTCAGGAGTTTGAAACAGCAAAATTCAATGATGGAATCTAAACTTTACAAAAAAAAAGACAGGGCGCAGTATATTCAATGTGAAGCAGGAGCAGCTCAGAGTTTAGTGACTACCTTTTACTGCTGTATATCTGTGACAAACTACCAAAGATTTACTCACCGGCTGTATGGATTAAAAGAGAAGCTTTTGACTGGACAGACTGTAAAATGCAGTTTAAAGCTATCTTCTCTCTAATGTGTATTGATTACACTGCCTCTGATCTCTTAATTAATTATTTTGTTGTGTAATGGGACTCCAAAAGCACCCAGAAGCATACTCCCTGACACGAATAAGGTTTCCAGAAGGAATTCAATCATGTGATTAAGATACAATAAATACATGAGCAGACTGCTTACTGAGACATCTCTCTCTGAAAACATGATCTCACTTTAAAGCTCTCGACCCATAAAACAAACTGCTTGGTTACTCTCAGAACATAACTGTATGATTAAAATAGCATAAAAAACTCTCAGTATGGAGGAGGTTCTGTACCATCGCTGTTAGTCTAATGAAAAGATGTGGCATTTTCTTCCCAAAGTCCTCATACGCAGCCTCCAAAGCATCATCATCATCAAAAGGGGCAAACTGATAAATACTTCTGTTCACTTGGCCTGTAAGTGATGAAGATTTTTTTATTGTACTAGCTATAACTGTTGAAATTTCACAAGCCAAGGTAAAAAGGAAGATTAAGAGATGCCTCAGGTTCTGGGTGTTTCAGCACCACGGAGAGCGACACAGACAAGGTGTCTGTTTTCAGAGTTTCAGCACCACGGAGAGAGGCAGGCAGGCGGCAAAGCGTTCTGTGTAAAGAGCCTCATTCTTATTTAAGGAATATTTCGAGCATTATTTAGATGGCGGAGAGCTTTAGAGCAAAGAGCTAGAGAGGGAATATGAGAGAGGGGTGGTGGTGAGGTTGTGCTGGGAGGAGGGGTATGATGTAAATAAAGTCTCTGTGAAGAGACTGTGTAATGTGTGATCCTGTATAACTCTCTTTGATGGTTTGCACCTCCCAAGCTCCTTCAAAGGAAAAACTCCAGGGACAAAGACCTCTGCCCCACATTACTACACAAGGCACTTTTTATTCACATGCTCGCTTCATACTGCATTATGTCACAATAAGATATGCAAACCTACTGTACTGTACTCTCCTGGATGTGCTTTCTGTGTTTTTGCACACAGGCATGCTGAGACTGCTTTTGTATGCAAAGCTTTTCTTTTGAAATGACAAATCTAGAGAGCCAAATGGCTCTAATGGCTCATGAATGCATGCATGTATGTGACTGTTTCTGTGCCACAAGCTTACAAGTATTCAATATGAAACAATGAGGAAAAAAAGCCCTTACAATAAACATAAAAAGTCTTTGAAAAGACAAAATGGAAAAAGTGAGAGGGCAGAAAGGTAATGTGCAATCCCTCTGCCTCCATACACAGTGTGGTTACATGACCCACAGACGTCAGCGTACTCATCACTGTGAATAACAAAATATATTGATGCCAACTCAGTGTCAGAATCATAATGAGTCTGTACTATAATATTTACTACAGTATGAGTGTGCCTGCATCACTTATGTGGGTAGGTGAGAATAAAGCAGTTAGTCATCACTCAGCAGCCTACATTCTGATGAAATGATGTTTTTCCAGCACTCAGCGGTCAGTTTACTTTGCTCCCCCCCCGCTACAGCAGACTTATGCAAAGCTATAACTCGTGGGTGACGGCTGACCTCCGACCCCGCTGTGACTCCTTATATACCGGCGTTACGTCAGGTGTTTTCCTGTCTAAACTGTCGAGTGGGTTGTTTGGATGTATGGTAGCCTTCCTCCGGGTTCATGACTGTGGGTTCAGTGTGGTTTCTGAACTGCCGAGTGGGCCGTTTGAGTTGAGAGAGAGAGATCAGCTTTAAGGTGCAAATGGAGTGCCAAAAAACACAAATATAACTGTTTCTGAAGATGTAGGCTTTAGGAAACCTTGAAATAGACAAATGAAGGGTAGCCTACAACATCCAAGAAAAGCCTTGAATACAAATTGAGCAGGCAGCGTGAGATCAAATTTATATCTTCAGAGCTGTTTTTGGTTCTTTGGTTGGCCTGCATGGGGCATGTCTTACACAGATGATTAAACTTGGGCTGTGTTTGATTGCCTTGTGCAGTTGAGCATGAGAGTGACAGGTATACAATGTGTCATGATACAAAGGCCTTTTACGACAGTGAAAAGAGTCCAAGAAGAGTAAGTGAGTAATGGCATTTGGTAAAGGGCTGCAGGTTGTTATCGACCATGAGCTGTCAGCTTTGAGGCTATAGCCTCTGTACATAGGGTGTGATCTGACCTCTGAATGAAATCAGTGCCCCCAAAGTCTACCTTTAACCCCATGGAGGTATCCTAGTCCTAATTCAACAACAACAAAAAAGATTTGAAAAAATATATATATTAAAAGGAGATATGAACATGGTTTGCAAATAGCTCAACCTGATTGTATCTATAATGTAAGGGGATAGAGTATTAACTTGTGGTTATGTGAAATAGATTCCTGACAGGGTGACATACATCGATCCTGCAAAACCTTTGGCCTAACTATCATGTTTTACAACTAACAAACAAGTTGTTATTTAGTATGGATGAAAAGATGACTTAAAGCTCATGTGAGGAGTTTTTGGTACTAATAAAGTATACTAAAATTCATATTGATAGTGATTTGTGATTAAAGACCATTATTAGCCCCATTTTTTTAGAATTTCTCATAAAAAATGTGTAATTAATGTTGGATTTGACTTTCGGAAGAAGGCAGGATGAGCTTTTTAGTTGGGAAATGCAACTTCAGTATATAGAGGACAGGACAAGCAATGGCTGCTTTGTCCACAGGGGGGGCGCCACAATTGTCACAAACAGAAAGTTCCTAACAGGAGCTTTAACTGTTTTAAAATTGATTTATTTAGGAAGGATTAGTGCTACATTTTTGGTAAAATTATTCTTATCTGGTTGGAATTAGCATCATACTTACTATTTCCACTCATGGTAAAGTATAAACATGACCCTGCATAAAAATTACAAATCACATAAAATTTAGCATTTCCATTCACAATGAAGTCTTAAAATGATCACCTGCACAGACCTGTTATACCTACAAACTCATACCATGTTGCAGTTTGTGGATGTTTTGTGTCTGTTTTTTTTTTTTTTTTTTTTTCCAGTTTTCAGTTTCTACCCTGTTTTTCCTGTTAACTCTGTTTTTACATTTTTTGGCACAGCGTCAACAGGAAGTGAAACAATGTGCCAGAACTCCACTCTGCAGATGGATTATATATTGGACATGTCTGATTAGGTTGTCCACCAATTCAAGTCCCCAACACAGCTGGGTGATTAGTAAGAAAGCCAGGTAAAAAAATGGATTATATGCTATGGTGTTAACCAGCAGTAATGCCAGGAAATTTAGCGCCCAAAAAAAGTAACAAATTGAGTCCAATCATTTCTTCTTCATCATCATCATCATCATCATCATCATCATCATCATCATCATCATCATAACATTTCCCTACATACAGCACCCATAAGTATGAAGTTTTCATGAGATGAAATATTCGAAGTTGTCAAGGGTAACATCCCACTGTGCACATTTGTGAAATATTTGTGTGTCATAAACACATAAAATCTTCAGCTTTTTAAGTTTGGCTGATCGAATAAATGTTGAAGATGAAGAGATTAAGCTGGTAAAGGTGCTGAGAGGTTTTAAAAACCCAATTCTTTTTCAACAAGCCAGAACCTGTCCTCTTTGCTCAACAGGGTGAGGACCTCTGAATTTATGAATTGCTCTGAACACAGCTCCCTTCAGTGCATTTCAAGTTTAATAGGGTGTTGTATATTTGTTTTTTTAAGATAAAGACTGAAACCATGTTTGTATATCGTGTTGTTACTCTTCACAAGTTTTTAAGTTCTACTTCTTCACAGTTAAAGTAAATGTATGACCTTGGTTCGAGGCGATCCCCGTTAAGACTAGATAATGCTTGAGTGGGAGTCTTTCTCTTTCCAAGACAGGGTTGTGTTCAGGTGCATCACTGATGTGGCTCATCTGACTGAAATGAAAAAATTCTCACATAAAAGAAAAATCCTTTCCTTTCCCATGTGCGCAAACACAAGGAGAGTCTCATAATGGCCTAAAATGAAAGGAAAATAGTTGCGTTGGTTAATCCTCTGAGTATTTTACCTCTTGGCTAATTAGGAAAGAAGACTCATGCTTGTACCCTACTTATTTAAAAATATAGTTGCTAAATATGCAAATAAATGCACATTTCCTCCTCTAATTGTTGCCTGATAAAGCAGAAACAGCCGGTCAGCACAGTGTGGCAGCTTTTAGTGCATCAGATATGCCTCCTGACAAGTTTTAGGTCTATGTTTCTTTCTGGATAAGTTTTCTAAGGAAAGGGAATCATGTCAAGTCAACAATAAGTGGATTAATTTGAAAAAGGAAAAATAGGTGATACACTAACTGCAAAAAAATGTGCAAGGATTCACATTTCTTTACAAAAGGGTCAATCGTCATCAGAAACGAGATGGATGACACCAAGAATACATTCTCAACCTACAGCGAGAGGCGGAGTAAAAGAGCTCTCCTATGCTCTATGATTTGTCATTATGCCTCACTGTGGGTGCTTTAAGCCTCCCTGATTGTTCCTCACATTGTCAGAGAAAAAGGTTATTCAACACCAGCTTTTCTAAAGCATTCACCTGTTCTTACTAACCAGCTCTGATGCAGCAAGAGTGAGTCAGACTACCTTTTAACTTCAACAATGAAGAGCACAAAGAGAGAGAGAGAGAGAGAGAGAGAGAGAGAGGCTGTTACAGTAGCTCTAACAGCACTTTGCATCAACCCAGATGTCACTTGAGTTTTACATTAAGTTTTAAAGCCGTAAGAGGAGTTGTGATACTCCAACACACCACCTCATAGCTGGATGATAATGTAGTCAAGTAGAAAATGCAGCCTGTTCGACATCCTCATTCAAGGGAGGAGCTTGGAAGAAAGGAGATTTTGTGAATGGAGTTCAGTTTCTGTAAAATAAAGCTGACTATATTTTTTGAATCACGAGTGATGGACGTTTTAGGGCTGGAGGGGTGGGGGCAAAGTGCACTCAAAGGTCTGTGGGTCAGATCCTATGATGTCGAAGTCAGGGGTGTCAATAATATAGGCTACTGCGCATTAAAAGCAAGTTTGAGAATACCTGGATGACTTTCCTGTGTGAGTTGGTGTTTATGCGCGTTTATCTGCACCTTTTACTGACCTCTGATCAATAGACAGGCTTCATATTTTAATAATGGAAATATCTTACCCGAGTTCCTCAGTTTGCGGTTCCTAAACACCGAGATGATCACCAGCAGGTTCCCCAGCACGTCCACCACCGTGGTGAAGATCAACACGCTGGCCAGGATTCCTATGACCCAGGCGGGGCGGGTGCTCCCCTCCGTGGCCAGTGTGCGCTCGAGCTGCCCCAGCCGTGGCTCTGTCCGGTTCTTTATGAGAGTAAATGTGTCCGGCATCACTGGCCAAACACCCTCAACGCTGCTACCAAGTCCCGGCTTTGATTTTTAAGTCCCGCAGGTACTGCCGGTACCGGTGTGTCCTGAACGAAACATGGAGCGCACCAGGAGTTCCACGAGAGCGCACGACAAGTCCTTTCCTTAAAGGCGAAATGAGTTACTTGATATAATGTGGCAGTCACACGTGACCCCGATAAAGTTACATGGACTCTTCTTTGTTTATCTTCGCGCCAGAGTCATCCATCCATCCATCCATGTGCCAAGAAAAGCTGCGCACTCCTTCAGCTGACAGGGATTGGTTGAGAAAACCTGAATTATTTGACGTTGGGACAAAATTTTATGAAAGAAGGTCCGGACCATTCATGTTTTAAGAATCCATCCCCTTCCAGTGCCCCTGGCTCAGTGGTTGGCATCTCTAAATCCCATCTGTCTGCACGCGCCCACGTTGTCAGAGAGGTTCTTCCTCCTCTAAAGCGTCAAACCATCGCACCGCCTCGGGAGTCCTTCTGATTGCATTTTCCAATCTCTGAGCAAACGGAGGAGCAAATCGTCTTCCCTAACCATCCCTGATCCCCTTCGCCATGCACTGAAACCACGACGCAACCGGCGCTGCGCGTAACGAGTCTCTATTGGTAAATATCAGAGATATGCCCTCAGTCGTGCACACAGCAGTACATGGGGAAATCGGCACATATCATTTATTTATTTATTTATTATTTTATTTATTTATGCACCTCCGACTTAGCTTGATGTGCTTCACCCCCCTTTTCTCCCATCTCTAACTGTCTTTGCAATTTCTCCTCTGCCCATCTCCTGCTGCCGACCCGAGTTGTGCGTGCAAATAGAGCTTTTCCTCATTTTCCCGTGGCCATTCTCAGCTTGACTTCCCAGAATCTGGCTTTGATCTCGGCACAATGCTCGGAGTTGCTCTAAGTGCGCACACAGCGGTGGGTCGGCTTGGGAAGTCCAGTCAGCTCGCTGTGACCGATGGGGAGCATTTGTCACAGATGGGCGAGGGAACATCTGCTGGAGGTCTTTGTCTGTTATAGTTTTTGTTTTTCCAAACCGGTGTTGACACATAATAACCTTATGAAAACACACAAGATGGATGTTATCATTAAAACAGCTGTAGTTACATCATTATCACAGCTGAGATCCTTAATTTCTCTTCCATTACTGGCGTGCTGCTAAGTCTATGTTGTTAGTTATGAAAACTGTCTCTGTCTCCCTGTCTTTACTTGCCTGTCTGTCCATGTGTTCTTTTCTTTCTCTCCTATTTAATTCTTTTAATCCGTTTTCTCAAAGCAGATAGCATTTCACCAAGGTGTCTGGCTCTGCTCAAGGTTTCTGCCTGTTACTTTACAATTAAAAAGAAAAGAAAAGAGACAACACAGCATAGTGTAGACCTGCTCTACATGTAAAGTGGGTAACACTTACGAATAGTAAGCAGATAGTTTGTTTGTGTTTAATCATTATTTATAAACAGCATATAGACCATTAATAAATTGTAAATTTTACAATTTTAAAAACCTAACCTTAACCCTAACTTTACAATAATCATCTAAGTAATGTTTATAGGTGGTTTATAAACCACTTATTAATCATTTACAAAGTATTACAAACATCAGTTGCAACTTTACAATAACCATATAAGTCATGTTTATAGATGGTTTAAAAACCAAATTTAACCATTTACAAAGTGCTACTGACACACATTTTAATCTAGATGTTTACAACCAATATTAAAACCCTATATAAACCCTTTATACATAGACCATTAATAATTAATGAAACTTATTAATCATAGTTTCATTGCTTGTTAATGGTAAAGTAACTATTCACTCACATTAATAAACTATCTATTTGCCATTTATAATTGATCTATATGCTGTTTTTAAATGATGATTGAACATAAAAACTATCTGTTTACCATTTATAAATTATGGTTATTGTAAAGTGTTACCGTAAAGTGCCCTGGATTAACTTTTGTTATGACTTAGCACTCTATAAATAAAAATTGATTGACATCATAGGGAGTCTTTCAGCTGCAAACTCCATCTACTATCGATTAAACCAGGAATCTTTCAGCAGTTTGTGTGTGCCTCCACCAGGGTGCCATTTTTGGACTCTGCTCTATGATTCACGCTGGTGTATTAGTGCACTCAGAGAAAGCAGAGGTGGCAGCCTCATCCTATTCATCCTTCACATTGGGGTAACTGGTGGCATAAGTGCAGTGGAGCTCTCCATCAGATCTGCTGCGTTTATAAGTCATTGATACTGTCAGAATCTGTCTGTCGTGGTGACACATTGAGGCCAGTGTTTAACTTTTCACTGCTGTGGTCATATACAGCTGCAGCAGATGCCCTGCAGCACAGCAGCAGGGGCAGATCAGAGCGGCTCAGCGTCAGCCTCGATGCTCGCTGACAATTCCACAGGCATGATGTGATGTCCAGGAGATGGACAGTTCTGGCTCTGAGTTCAGCCAGACACACAAACATGCACATACACACTTTGAATACAAACTCAATAGCTTCCTGGAACAAGCATCCAATGAATGCAAAACAATATCACACATCTAGAGCACCAATTGCATTGACAGTCCACAACATAAATCTGCTAATTGAAAACTGCAAAGGCTTGAAAATGCTGCTGACTGTGGAGGACATGCTCCACAGACCTTTAAATCTATTACTGTGTTTGTCTACTCTGAGAGAACATTCAGTAATCCTAAGCGCTCACTTACTGAAGAAAAAGCTTATTGTTATGGCAATAAAAGACGGACAGACTGGCCACAATAACTTGATATCAACACCATCTTCAGCAAAAAAATCCCTCACAATAGCTCCATATGTGTTCTTTCTGCAGGACAACACAGTTTTATTGTTATTGATTCATCTTTGTTGGCCTGCACTTTTATTGTTTATCAGCAAAATTCGGTTCAAATCACCAGATGGCACCACCAAAACAAAAGTATGAGGAGATGGGTGTGAAGAAAACAATTGAAAATCAGCCTGGTGGTGCTGACAAGATTTGTCTTCTGGTTGCTGGAATCTTTGGAAATACTATTGTTATTGTGTTTTTAATGGAGTCACATAAACAAATGTTTCAATTCATACTGCTACCCTCTTAATGGTGTTATAAAGAGGTTTAAGGGAGAAAGATGTAAGTGCAGCACATAACTTTGCTGTAATACCTGCTACTATCAATAAAACAAACGCATTTAAAGGGATATTCCGGCGTAAAATTAAGTTAGGGTCAAACACACAATAACACCGAGTTAGACATCAATGAATGTTGCCGACCGCTTTATTCTCTAGTTATACCAACTTTAGTAATGACCGCACAGTAGCAATACACAGTGGTCTAAGGAGCCATAAACAAATCTCAACCAAAACGCCACTCTATAGCCAAAAATAATGTTCAGAACAGCACCTAACTTCATCAACAGTACATATAGAGTCCAAGCCATAGCACTAGCCGCCAAGCATCTTTTTAACTTTGCCTAATTTCATTAGCAAAGAGACTTAAAACAATCCACCTAATCACCTACTCTCTTCCAGCAGCCGCTTGTTTGTAGCAAGTGGTCGGCAACATTCATCTCTTGACCCTAAATTCATTTTATGCTGGAATATCCCCTACAGATTTGTGCAAAGCTCCCTGTATGTCGAGTTGATAACTTATAATAACTCTAAGGACTGATCTGTGTGCTTTACACATATAGAGCCACATCTTGTCAACCAATGCTGCCTCTTGTCAAACCACCGCAGAATTTTTATGACTAAGTCAACAATTAACAAAAAAGCTACACCCCATTTTTTATTTCACGTGTTTCTCATAAAAATACACCTGTGACGGACAGGTGAATCAACAGAATGGATGATATAAAAGTGCTTGCCAGCATGATGTGTGTGTCTGTCACAGTGCAGGGGGAAAAGAGGCTGATGAGTTGGCAGCTTTTTGCGAGCGCTCATGAAAACATGAGGCCCCCTTACAGATGATGCACTTACTGTGTGTTGTGCATATAAGGAATTAACTTGAGAGAAAAAGCTACAGCTTGTGTGGACAGGAGTAAATTTATTGCCTTTGCAGTACTTCAGGGGTTCTGTACCTGTGAACCATGTGAGTCAATACTTGCTCAAAGAAGTTACTGTGCGTATCGGATGAACTTGAAGAAATAGTGCTTTTTTGCTATTGTACATTTGGCATGCATTTCTTCAAGCAGTCAGCTTTTTTCAGGATATGATGGATCTGAAGAATCAATGGGTGATAATGGCAGCCAATTGGTCGGTCAGTCCAGTACCAAAGTTCAGAGCCAGAATTGGACCTTTGAGCAACTATCTGACAACTTAAAATAAAATTTTACTACTCTAGTTTAAGGGGATGACCTTACTCACCTTGATGATCCTCTAAGCTTTATTGTAGTGCCAACAATAGGTTGTGGTTTCCATTTTTAAGGAAATGTCTTTACAACTGCAAGATGGATTGCCAAGAATTGATTGGCAGACTCCAAAGAATAAACCCTAATGACTGACATAAGCATTTAGCTCAAAGCTCTGCTGGGAGCATCCAAAACCTCACTGCCAAGATGGCAAGAGGCGAAGGTAGTTCTGCAAGTACTGCACTTGTTTTGTCTCTTTTAACCAACTCTCTTGAACATAAGATAGATCACCTCCAATAAACTGTTGACCACTTTTTTTACTGAGCTGTAGATCATCACCCTGAATTGATTGCTCTCTTCTTTTCTTTTAAGTACTGCAGATTTAACCAATTCCTCAAGTATTCCTTTCTTTCCCCCGAGCGTTTAATGGTGCAGATAATGTATTATCTTTTGTAGACTCACTTTGCAATGAGAAACTCTTGAACACATTATAAATGTTAATCACTCCTTTGCCTGCAGAGAAGAACTTGTAAAAGAATGTTGTTATTCTTTGTTTTGTATTTAGAGGATGTGATATGAATTTAGTTTTGGTTTTCATATCAGATGCCGGAGCTGGGAACGC